GCACCATGGTTCCCATTTTTAATTTGAGAGAGTACTAGTAGTGACGATCCAGAACGGAGGAGAATGCATCTAACGCAATTTGGCATTGAAAGTAAAGTCTTAACGGGTGTTCTGGAAAACATTCATGGCTTTTAAAATAAATCACAATCATTACGACAACTTTGTGGATATATACTTGTGGTATATTTATTACTTCAACGTTTCAATGTGGTTTTTGATTCAAAATTACAGGAATTATACGGTGGCTCACATACGACATGCTCCACTTTTTATTTAAATGATTATCACCAGGGGAAAAGTAGAATAGTCACCTAATTTTAACATAGGTGAAAATAATTATCACCTAGCTGAAAATTAATGTTTTCAAAATTAAAAGTGAAATATGTCATATGTGAGCCACCATACTATTTAGAGTTTAATATGACGTAAAACTCAAGATTTATTTCTCGAGACGTAATGCTTTTTGTCTCGTAATATCCTTTAGAATATTCATCTCGGTGTATTCAGCATTATCCACCTCAGTCTGTTTCAATCAGTTGTATAGCTGATATTTTTAAAGAAATGTGATCGTCTAAATCAAATAACATGCTAAACTGTTGTTCAAATATTTAGACAATTGCAATATTTAAATCAATGATTTAAAACGCGCACAGTTAAAGTGACATTCGCCATTGTTGTTCGTAAAGATTACAAGTTAACGCCCACTTCTAGCAGAACCACGCCCCTTTCTCAAAACATAGATTAGAATCACTTTATCCAAATAGCTCCGCATCAGGCATAAACATTTAACGAAACAAATCAACCCTTTTCAAACTCATTATCGTGTTTGTGTTTAAAACTCCATTATCGTGTTTGTGTTTGAGAACTCCTTATCGTGTTTGTGTTTGAGAACTCCTTATCGTGTTTGTGTTTGAAAACCCATTATCATGTTTGTGTTTGAGAACCCATTATCGTGTTTGTGTTTGAAAACTCATTATCATGTTTGTGTTTGAGAACCCATTATCGTGTTTGTGTTTGTGTTTGAGAACTCATTATCGTGTTTGTGAGCAGCATATTTTCATAATAAAACGTAAAACTGTTAACGTGCCATCTCCACAATGTGCAACTATTTCAAACTACGTCTAATACCCTGACTGCAATAGCCACCTTTCTTGTATCACAGATATTTGTAAATACAGCGACTTGATTGGAATGTACACTACCTAATACAGCCAATTATTTCCACTATTTGGCTGCACGTATAATCGATAATGAAATGAAATGTATTAAGGTGCACCAGTACCGCAACCGGCTATTTAGCAGCTCGCTACGATAAAACATCTCAATGAAATGCACTGAGATCCAAAGATCCAGCACAGTAGTGCTTTGATGCACGTGTAATGGAGGAGTATGGTTGGCTGTATTTGATGGCGTACAATCCAATCAAATCGTTATACATGTATATACAAACTTCTTTAATATAAGAAAGATGGCTATTGCAGTCAAGGTATATGGCACAGTGCTTAATAGATTGACATTCTGATTGTAATCTCAAAGTTAATCGAGATCACACTATTTCCTCTTTACTGATCTGTTAGCTTTGGAATTACAGAGGTGTTTGAAATCTTATGATGAGGTAGTTGTTGATAGATGACAAGTTAACGTTCGCTTCCAGCAGATGCTGATATCTCAAACTAGGTAGTTGTTGGTAGATGACAAGTTAACGTTCGCTTCCAGCGGATGCTGATATCACAAACTAGGTAGTTGTTGGTAGATGACAAGTTAACGTTCGCTTCCAGCGGGTGCTGATATCACAAACTAGATAGTTGTTGGTAGATGACAAGTTAACGTTCGCCTCCAGCTAACTGATATCACAGACTAGGTAGTTGTTGGTAGATGACAAGTTAACGCCTGCTTCCAGCTAACTGATATCACAGACTAGGTAGTTGTTGGTAGATGACAAGTTAACGTTCGCTTCCAGCAGATGCTGATATCACAAACTAGGTAGTTGTTGGTTGATGACAAGTTCACGCCTACTGCCAGCAGTTAACTGATATCACAGACTAGGTAGTTGTTGGTAGATGACAAGTTAACGTCCACTGCCAGCAGTTAACTGATATCACAGACTATAGGTAGTTGTTGGTAGTTGACAAGTTAACGTCCGCTAGCAGTTTTAAGATCTGGATCAATTGGATGATTCGTTCCTGGTGGTGTTGGTTTGGTAGGTGAGAATTATACCTGTCAAATATGAAGATGACCAGAGGTCCGTGACTACAGGAGGGCAAAATGGGAAGGGAGGGGGGCATGTCTTCCCGAAAAAATTCTGACAACCGGTGAATTTACACACCATACACCATTGCCCCTCCGAACAATCAAGTCTGGCTACGGGCCTGGATGACTTCAAACATACATTCGTGGTTTTTAAGAGCACGACGACTTTTCAGTGCTATCTATTGTTCTAGCGCCAAGCAACGACTGATTAAATCGTTAGAATAGATCTTTATATTGATAACATTATCTGGTTGTTATGGAAACTTTATACATGGACAAGACGAGTATTTTTTGATCTTGCCGACTATCATGAATTATTGCCTGGTTTAAAATCTATTGTGTGTATTGTTCTATATAGGTACTTTCCGTTTTGTATTCGTGGCTCTGGATTCCTATTCTATTAAAGTGACTGTAGAACAAAAAAAATAATCAGGAATTACACAGAGTCTACTTTACTCGTTATATACTGGAAAACGTTACAAAAATGTGAAATAATTTTGTCTCTGGAATTAATATTTGACATCGCATTAAAATATGACAAGTTAACGACTGCTTCCAGCAAACTGTATCACAGGTATACGATTTTATGTAGTAACATACCGGTAATGTAAGTTTTGTTACCACAGGACAAGCACGGGCATGATGGCTTAACCTCAAATGAGAGAGTATCGATAAATATTATTCGGGGAACTTGCCCAGCTATGTAGCTTTGTTGAATAACAAATGGTATAATCTGAAAGTCTACTTGTATATTCATTCCAAAGGGTGCATTGTTTGTAATGTTTTAATCCAATAGTTTTCGCGAATTAATCGGACTGTCTTAGTATCTATACCAGGTTGTTCATATATCATTAGGAATAATTTTCAGGTCTGTTAACTGATGATCGAATTGGTTAAAGGGTTATACATAATTTAATTCAATAGAAAAGTTCATACTAGTTTATGCCCGCAATTGCTCTACCAATTCCGTAGTTAGATTTGAATTAAGTAAGCTACCATATAAGGTTTGTAGACAAGTAAATACACGTATACTAAAATATCATTTGTTAAAAATCTCTTGTAAAAGGTGCCAGTTATAAACCATGGTTAGATTATCTCATAGAAACATTAAGTTTTAATAGTGTATGTTTGGAATAACCAAGGCGTTGATAATGAAAACTGTTTTATATCTCAGAGGTTGAAAGATAACTATATACAACAAAATATTAGCAACATTTATACATACCTCATGCCCCCATCCCCCAGAAAAGAGGCTGGCCCGGGTCACCCACCCCTCTGCTCGGCCCCTTACCTGATGCTTTCTAGAAACACCACTGATACGTGCATGTTAAAAGAATTAACAGAGTATGTACACAATGTCATTTTGGAGAAACTCAAGATGAACTACATCATATTTTTACTGTGACTTCCAATAAATATTCAAAAAATAAAATAAAATGAATGGAGTTTTACGTCCTACTTTTCTGAACCAATAAAAATAAATTTGTAAGCTGTTATTACTGGACAAAACAACCATGTACAAACTAGTTAAACTTTCAACAAACGATATGGAAATATTGACGAAATTAGAAAATTCCTTTCTCAAAGTGAGAAACTACTCTAATTTGTAATGAAATGTTTCGTCGATCTCCCGCCATCTTGAATTATATTATATATTTTGTTTCATATTAAAATGCGTATGGTAATAGACTTTGTACTAGATCGATCTATTATTTATTTTAGTAACAACAATTAAACTATATTAGAAGGAACAGATCTAAAGATATTTAAATCAATGGTGTCTGAAAAGCAGTTGACAGTAAAAAACTTGAGATTTTGGAAAAGACTTCGTTTATGTACTGGTGGTAAGTAACGTCTTAAAAGCTAGATGTTTCGTTGAGTGTTTTTGGTGATGTTTGAATTATTTCCAATGATTTTGGAATGCGCTACTATATTAGAGAGGCAGTTTCGGAATTTGGGGGGTTGATTTTGGTCTTGTTTATCTGTAAATAGTCTTCAGAAGTACTAGAAAATTACACAATTCCTTCAAAAATACCTCAATCTAGGAATTGCACTTTCTATTTTTTATATGTCTTTTCATATCACAGAGTCGTCTTTTTTTACTTTCAAGCTCGGGTAATTTTGGACAAACATGCTCAAATTTCAGCGGCGAGCTAAATATTAGCTAAAAGAATTCTTGTTTCTGAGACTAAAGTTATATTGGTCGATAGGATGGCGAATCCGTCCCTTTACGGTCACTAAAAATGCGACCAATCACAGGCTCTGTAAATAAAAGCTTTATGTGAGAAATCTATGGTTTTACAATGTTTATCCACCCTATACATGTATTTACATAGGTTATTACAGTAAAGTTCGTGTCTTGTCTAGGATTCCCAGTCTTCTATTAATGATCCAGTGTTCTAATGCATCATCCCAGGGGTATCATAAATAATTGTGCTATTATTTCAAATCCTCCCTCGATGCGTTTTCAAATACACTCTCGTTAGTTCATGGTTGAGTTGCATGGCCCTACCTCGGATGAGTTGCCCGGCCCTACCTCGGACGTGATCACCTTCGTTATATCATCGATGAGTTGCCCGACTCTACCTCGGACGTGAACATCTTCGTTAGGTCATGGATGAGTTGCCCGGCTCTATCTCGGACGTGATCATCTTCGTTAGGTCATGGGTGAGTTGCCCGGCTCTATCTCGGACGTGATCACCTTCGTTATATCATCGATGAGTTGCCCGACTCTACCTCGGACGTGATCATCTTCGTTAGATCATGGATGAGTTGCCCGGCCCTACCTCGGACGTGATCACCTTCGTTATATCATCGATGAGTTGCCGACTCTACCTCGGACGTGATCATCTTCGTTAGGTCATGGAGGAGTTGCCCGGCCCTACCTCGGACGTGATCATCTTCGTTATATCATGGATGAGTTGCCTGACCCTACCTCGGATGTGATCGCATTCGTTATATCATCGATGAGTTGCCAGACACTACCTCGGACGTGATATGTGATGAGCTATCGTCACGGTTACATCACTTTTTATGGGGGTCGCTCGGATCCAATTTTGGATCTAGTTTTTTTTTTAAATTTCACAACGACAAAGGCCAAATTGTTATGTCATTTATACAAAGCTGAACCATTAATGTCTAATGAGTCCATCAAGACATTACCAAATATTCTACAATGTACTTTGCCCAATGTCACCCCCCCCCCCCCCCCTCACACGACACTACAATACAGTCGAGGGATAGGATTTTTCCTTCTTCGTGGAACTCCGGAAGTTTAGCTTCGGATTAAAATCTATACCAAGTAAGTCCTAGGATAAAAAATATTGATCTTAACTTTATCTACAGAAAAAACAATGTATTAAGATTTTGTATTGAATGCTCCGAACGAGCGTCCTTATATCAGTAAATTTATTCACTTTTATTTAAGCCAACAGCTGACTCAGTCATTCTAAACGATATTTAATGGTCATAATGTTTTGTCCGTGTTAAACTCTAGCAAATGAGGTGGACATTACTAACAAATAGCTTTCCAGCTGTCATCAGCGAGAATTCAATACCATGTTATTGCCATCTGTAACTGGACTAATTGTAAGGAAGGGGTACGAAATGAGTGCTTTTAAAGGTAAGATTGGTTGCAAATGGTGATATATTTTATATAGTTTTATGTAATTTTGATTTAAAGGAACATGTTCAACCAATCATACCTTAGTCTCAGAATCGGAATCGTTTTTAGCTAAGCCAATCAGTAATAGTGTTCAAGGCTCACCGTCGAAAATTGAGCCTTCAAATTCATGTGTGTCCAGAATTATCCGCGCTTGGAAGTTAAAATGACGACTCGTCTTTTCTCGATACTCTGACATATATCGGTATAGAAAAGACATATACAGAAACAACAAGTAGTTGCCTAGCAAGATACGCCCACTTACCTGATAAATTTTAGTATGCCAGAGGCGGTCTCCAATCGTCGTAAAATCGTATCAAAGATCTGATTTTTGCAAGATTTTAAAAATCACACAAAATTTAATAAAATTCTGACATAAACCTTCATTGCGTTCACAAGCCAACAAATTTTGATGCGTTTCTACTAAGTCAAGTACAATAACTCAAATTCCGTTAATCGAAAATCGTCAAATTCAAACTTGAATTGAAACCATTGTCTCTTCCCACCTTTACATATTTTTGTAAACCAAATTTTGTATATCTAAGTTTTATAAAGCACATAATTACTACATATTGACCTTACTAACACCTATTGTTACCCCTCCACTCTCTTAAACTTTAACTGACCTCACTGGACAATGGCTTAGCTGTCTTTAGGGTGGTCAGTCCAGTGAGTTCATGTTAGTTTATATTCACTACTGCCTACAATGAGATTCATAGAAGAAATACTATGAATAACTATCTATAGGCAAATACTTCGTGCTAAATTTGATAAAATATAATAATTATAATTGTTCACTGAACCCTACATTTCGAGAAGCATTCTATTGCTTGGTTCAATAGAAAACAAATTGTATTACTAAGCAAGAAAAAGATTTTATGTTCGAAGTCAAAGCATCATATAGGCCTCAGTTTTCACGCCCAAAAAAATTTCAACCCGCTACGCTTGACGATCAGGATTTTTTACCAACAAAATAAACACAATAGAAGCTATGGCCATGGACATTATTAATCACTCTTTATATTTATTGCCTCGAAACCGGTTTCTAATAATTAGGTTTAGAAGCATATAGCGTGACGTGCACTGGATGATATATGTCCACCTTTTCACCCGTATTCGACTCACAAGGGACTATATTAATGGACACGTGTGGTATGTTCACTATTTTTATTCTATTTTTTATAATTATAATGATCAGGTCTTTTGTTCTATGACTTTAATTATAAAATAACTAATTACTGATGGACCATTCAGGATTCTTATGGCAATCAGTTTTTATATAAATTGAAATATCACCCTGATGAAAGTTCTGGAAGTCTAAGATGGTTATCAATGAAATCAATGAATGAAATAATGAATCTCGGCAATAGAATATTCACAGAGAGGATTTTTCAATTTGTAATGTGTGCCATTTAAATTTCAAATGTTAATTAATCAAACTTCATATTTTTCTTGGACAGTGGCGGAGTCAAAGGGCCATCCCCGCCCCCTCGCAGCCCCGAAAGCAAGGTTTTCGGACAAAAATCTCATAACTGGGTAACTCAGATATCTCGCCCCCTCTCAGAGGTAAACCTGGTTCTTGGACCGGAAAATATTCTTTTACCAACGTCTTTCTAGTGTTAGATTTTGAATGTAAGTTGATAAGGTCAGCTCTGTTTGACAGCGAACAGTAGACCCTTATTGGTCACATATCTTCAAAAGGGTGTATTATACGACTCGATCTTTGTTTGTTGAAGTTTTGCTCTCAACATTACGCATTTTCGCCCTAGTCAGTGATGCAGGAAAGAGTCTTGTCGTTCGGATTTGACAATTTACCGTTGTACTTCCCCTTTAGACCAATAATTGCACACATCATGACCAGTCAGGTCCAGAAAAGTAGGACGTAAAACTGCTCTTCATTTGATATCGTTTGTATTGGTTTTCTGATTTACGAATTAAATAAACAAGTCGGTGACCCGTATCGAGATACCTTCAGGTGAAACCCGACAGTGGTCAAATCGATAGCAAATTTTTGTAGGTCACTTGCATTTGGCCAGTGGCGGCGTACAGGAGGAGAAGCAGCGGGGGCTGAGAAAATTCAAATTAAAAGCCAGAGTGCATCGAATCAATTCTTTTTCTCAAGAATTCCACAGCGCTTCCACCCGAGAGTTATCCCTCATACGTTAAGTCGGTCATCTCCCTATTTGAACACCCAGTTACTGGATGCTGGCGCCGCCACTGCTTTAGGCATGTAAACTGAATACATGTAATTATATTATCGCATATCCTAGGTAAAGTAGGTATAACATGTTTAGATGCTTATCTGTGTTAAATCGATTGTTGACCCTATTGACCCGCGGATATGCCGGACAGGCCATCATTTGTCGATGTGACATTTGTGGATTTGTAAAATTATAGCTGGACACAATTATACGGATAACAATTACTTTAATAAATAACTTACGATGTTTCGACGATGATACTTTCGTCTTTATCAAGCAATGATGATAAACGTTGCAAGTTATTCATTAAAGTAATTGTTATCCATATAATTGTGTCCAGTTATTCATACCCCAGTTACTAAATGCGAACCCCATTCCCTTTTATGTCACACCTTGCTCTATAGGACGTAGGGGTAGAGATATTTTGGCTCATTATAGTTAATGATATTAATAACTGAATCAAAAACGTGTTTAAGCGTGTTTAATTATGACCTAATGCTATCCAAACAATTTATTTAATAAGTCGCCCTTACGGAAATAGTTAATCTGTTAAGTAGCCCTAACGGGAAAAAAGGAACTCAAATGGGAATTACAACTAAAGCCTTTTTATATTTATTTTTATACTTAACTGATTTGTACATCAAATTAGAAAATGAGTGTGTTTTGTTGTACTTAAGGAGGTACGTATTTGATCGTACAATTTTCATTCATAACTATTCTGCTTATATTTAAACGGGTCTGACCTGTAGTAATATATAACAGACTTAACGGTCTAAATTCAGCTCAATGTTACATCAACATGGAAATTATGACTTAGTGCCGTAGGCGCTTACAAGTCAGATGTGACAAGTTGTGTGTAATTCTTCACGGTCGATTGCCGTACTGAAGCCCATGTACACTTGTAATATTAACTACAACTATTGTTACGTTATTATGTATTAGCAAGACCACAGGCCATAGCAATTTGTAATCCTTGATCCTTATATTGTCACCAAGAACATGCAAAACTATGTGACACAATGTTCTTCTATATCAAACCTAGAATAAAACAAGGTTACTTGGTGCAATAAAACTACAAAAATCCAATTATCGACTACATCATCCAGGGCAGAGTTTCACCGCCATGTCATTCGACCCGACCAGATCTAACACAGAATCAACAACCAAACCAACAACACAGAATCATCCAATTTGAAACAATTCAACTACCAACTACTACGACAACAAACAACTACCTAGTTTGCGATATCAACATCCGCTGGAAGCGAACGTTAACTTGTCATCTACCAACAACTACTTAGTTTGGGATATCAGCATCCGTTGGAAGCGAACGTTAACTTGTCATCTACCAACCACTAACTAGTTTGTGATATCAGCATCCGTTGGAAGCGAACGTTAACTTGTCATCTACCAACAACTTTCTAGTTTGTGATATCAACATCCACTGGAAGCGAACGTTAACTTGTCATCTACCAACAACTACCTAGTTTGATATCAACATCCACTGGAAGCGAACGTTAACTTGTCATCTACCAACAACTACCTAGTTTGGGATATCAGCATCCGTTGGAAGCGAACGTTAATTTGTCAGCTACCAACCAACCATTATCGATTACTGAATATTACTCAAATATTGTGAGGATTAGATTTTGTCTCTATCAATACAAGTTTAACTAGCAATCCGGTGGCCAGTAGGATACAGTAGTTACCTAACCCTAAGATAAAATGATTTATACCCCCACTTCATTCGTAACAAATTCAAAAACATAAAATTACATTTAAATACAATGATAGAGACAAAAATAACTTAGTAATGATCAGGTTGAACCTACAAAAATCAACAAAATAATTACATTAAGAACACAAGTTATATGGATATACTACTTCTAGTTTTATTACATACTACGTTTCGAAACACATACAGGTAACGTTATCAAGTACAATGCTAACTAAAAGTAGTATATCCATATAACTTGTGTTCTTAATGTTTACTTTCCTGCTTCTATATGTCTTACAAAGAAAATAATTACTATTCATATGGAAAATATAGTTTAATGTTTTTGTGATTTCATGATATTGATACCGTACGATGCAACGTACGTAAGAACTTTAAGGGGCAACAAACAACATTTTTGGGAAGTTATACGCCCTGATTATATTTAAAACATTGCAGTGGTGGTTTCTAATCTCAGTCTACTAGTGACCTTGAATGAGTTGTCATTATTATCGTGCTTATTATTACGATTAAAAATTAGACCTAACTTTCGTTCCATTTTTTTATAAGCTTTTATTTTTAATATATAACTGAAGTGGCTGTATTAAAAATAATTTTGATTAGATGGTCAATCCTGTTCATCATTGCATCTACACCGTGTTGACTTTTAGAAGAGCCGGAGAGCGGAGGGAATTGGTCACCACCCCAGAACGCCTGTTGTCATTCAATAAGTTTGCTAGCTAAGTTCCTGAAACCGTTGTTAGAAGTGTTATTCTGGCGAGAAAGGAAGAGTATCGAGGGTTATATTACTTATATTGCACCTTAAAATGTTTGAACTATTATCATATTTGAAATCGAAGACTAATTATATGTTAATGATATTTTTTCAGGAAAGATAAGGGCTGTGTGCTCCAGACGACTCAAACAAATCACCGTAGTGTTAACATGTGTTATCCTAGTGTTAGTGTATCATTTTGCATCGACTACAACACTGTATTTCCATCCGCAGGATATAACACAATGGGTGTTATCCATTCCACACAATACGTCACAAACGTCGTCGTTGACGTTACAGGATTTTCAAAATACGTCATCAAATAACGTTCAGTTGACGTCACCCATACGTTCTTTACCGGCTTTAAGTAAATATACCATGACACTAACTCTGCGCCTTACGTCAACCAAACACTTAACCGAGTTTTTATATTGCCAAGCCTTGCGAAGTACAGCTTTATATTGGAGTAAACGGTTAGGAAATGTGGCCTTGATTTTTGATGCTGAAAATCCAAATGATAAATATCTCGCCGAAAATTTGAAGAAACACCAGTCTCAAATGGGAATAAATTTTGTGTTTGTATATGAAAATTTACCCGAAGATCAATCCATTTTATCCAATACAATTCACCGTAATCCTGGATATAACCGTCAAGTTTATTCTAGTTTCTTTATGGATCTGTACATCAATACGTCTATAATTGCCTGGACGGATACGGACGGACGTTTCACCTCTCCGGTTACATTGCAGAATATCTTTGCTGGTGATAAACTAAAGGTCAAGGGAATGAGTGCCTTTCAACATTCGCATATCGCTGGGTGGGCCAGAATTACCCAGGAAATGCTCGGGAAGTCACAAGTGTCTGATTTTATGGAATATTTTCCTGTGTATATCTGGAGAGATACTATCACTAACTGTCGAAATCACATCATTCAGCATATGAAAGTGAGAGATATGGATGAAGCATTCGTTCGCGTTCTTTCTCGACGTGACAACATTAGTCCAGTCAACATCATCATGTCTTATGCTTATTATTTTGAAAAACATCGTTATGATTGGCATATAAACTTAGAAAAATACACATTGGAAAATTATAATAATAAATTTGTATCTAAAGGATTCGAACTCTTACCTTCTGATATCACACCGGACCTACACGTAACTATTCACCATAAATACTATAAAGACAGAACTCATACTGTCAACAAGGAGGCTTATTGTGCCGCCATTAAAAACACTGCCATTCAAGTTGAAGCAAAGGTCAAGGCCATGTGTCAACCATTTTTAAATAAAGTCCCGTGGTTACTGTTCAAATTCAATACTTGGTCAACACCACAGTATCTACCAGCTTGGTGTAAAAATGAAAGTCCCGTATGTAAATTAATATTAGACAATCATTTAAAAAATGTTCAGAAGGCCATTACAGAAGGTTTTTATGACCTTGACCTTAAGAAAGTTTCAGCTGTTGAATCTGCAGCGCGGGAATTCGGATACAGCTGTACGCCATTTTTTTAACGTGGGCACTTATCGAGACATTTCGCCGCTTGGTGCTGGCAAGCCAATGGATGGCCAGACGATCTGAGTTGAATCCAACTTTATAAAAAGTTCAGGATGTTTCGATGGGTGTTTTTTCCGTTGTCATCTATGATCTGTAGCAATTGTTTTGCATTTTCTGGGTCACCGAATGGCAATCAATCAAATTAATGCTCTGTTAAATAACATATTTCCTTACTGTGAGGAATTTCTGGGGTATTGTCTGATCACTCTGAATAGTATTTTTTACTGGTTTGCTAAAAATATTTGTCATCTTGAAACAGGGCCGGATATTTAGTGCAATTGGTATGTGTGTTTTAAAGGGATTTTAAAGATGTTTTCTGAAAAAGAATTATGTGTATCGCGTGGTAGCTGACGTCACTTATCGAGAAGGGTCTTATGTGATAATACATATTTCGCGATTAATGACATCATCAAACACTTTGTTTTAGCGGAATTGCAGGAACCACAGATGTCTGATTGAAAAACGGAATGGTGAAAATTGATGCTATCAGTGTCCCCGATACACATGAAAATTCTAGAAAACCTCTTTACAATCACTTTAATGAAGGGTCGCTCTATATTGACATTATTGAGCATTTCCAGACCAGTTTTTTAAGTGAACTATTTTGTTTTTATTTGTTTAAGTAAGTTATTATTGTCAGGTTATTGTGTAGTCCAATGGTTCCATAAAACATTATATCACCACTTCAATATATATATATATATTTTTCCCTTATTCATTCATTTTATATTGTCTCCGTGGGCTGAATGTTAGACAGGACCATGCCCTTGTGTATTGGGCCTAATTCTGACCTATGTAAAATAAAGAGTTTATCATTATTATTATTAATCATCGTAGTTTAAACCACGCCTCTTTCTCAGTACGTAGATGAGAATCACTTAACCAATAGCTTCGCATGAGGCGTTGATCTTTAAAAAATCAAATCAACCCTTTTCATGTTTGAAAACCCATTATCGTGTTTGTGTTTGAAAACTCATTATCGTGTTTGTGTTTGAAAACTCATTATCATGTTTGTGTTTGAAAACTCATTATCGTGTTTGTGTTTGAAAACTCATTATCATGTTTGTGTTAGAGAACTCCTTATCGTGTTTGTGTTTGTGTTTGAGAACTCCTTATCGTGTTTGTGTTTGAGAACTCCTTATCGTGTTTGTGTTTGAGAACTCCTTATCGTGTTTGTGTTTGAGAACTCCTTATCGTGTTTGTGTTTGTGTTTGAGAACTCCTTATCGTGTTTGTGTTTGTGTTTGAGAACTCCTTATCGTGTTTGTGTTTGAGAACTCCTTATCGTGTTTGTGTTTGAGAACTCCTTATCGTGTTTGTGTTTGAGAACTCCTTATCGTGTTTGTGTTTGAGAACTCCTTATCGTGTTTGTGTTTGAGAACTCCTTATCGTGTTTGTGTTTGTGTTTGAGAACTCCTTATCGTGTTTGTGTTTGAGAACTCCTCATCGTGTTTGTGTTTGAGAACTCCTTATCGTGTTTGTGTTTGAGAACTCCTTATCGTGTTTGTGTTTGTGTTGAGAACTCCTTATCGTGTTTGTGAGCAGCATATTTTCATAATAAAACGTAAAACTGTTAACGTGCCATCTTCACAATGTGCAACTATTTCAAACTACGTCTAATACCCTGACTGCAATAGCCACCTTTCTTGTATCACAGATATTTGTAAATACAGCGACTTGATTGGAATGTACACTACCTAATACAGCCAATTATTTCCACTATTTGGCTGCACGTATAATCGATAATGAAATGAAATGTATTAAGGTGCACCAGTTCCGCAACCGGCTATTTAGCAGCTCGCTGCGATAAAACATCTCAATGAAATGCACTGAGATCCAAAGATCCAGCACAGTAGTGCTTTGATGCACGTGTAATCGAGGAGTATGGTTGGCTGTATTTGATAGCGTACAATCCAATCAAATCGTTATACAAACTTCTTTAATACAAGAAAGATGGCTATTGCAGTCAAGGTATATGGCACAGTGCTTAACAGATTGACATTCTGATTGTAATCTCAAAGTTAATCGAGATCACACTATTTCCTCTTTACTGATCTGTTAGCTTTGGAATTACAGAGGTTTTTTCATTGCGTTTATATTTTCGAAACGTAAAAGCATTTTATATTCTTAAAAACATTTCCTTCACGCTGATATATTATCCGAAATCTCAGACGTACAATTGAAATGTATATGGCCTGTCTTACTTCAAAGATAGGAGTAGGTACAGTAGGTGTTCTTCGTCGTCTCATCTGCTTGCTACATTAACCACAAAAAGTTTTGATTTATTCAGGTTGAACCTGTTTTTGTATGTGTCCCCAAATCGTATTTGCACGAAATCGATGTACCAAAATATTGAAAGTGAAACTAGGATTGGATACCAGGCACGGTCTTGGGTGTAAGGAGTACTAGATGCGGCAAACAATTCTCCTTGTACTTAGGGACAATATTATATGAGATGTTGTATACTGTACTGTTAAAGTGACTTGGGAATTTGACTCATAGAAAACGCGGGCCTAGGTCTGAAGAAAGGGTTATTCATTTCGAAATGCGTAGTAATGTTTAGTTAGTTTTAAGAATAATGGAAATGTTCAGGTGGTACCAACTTGTTCTGTATTATAATAAAGAATAAAAAAGCTGCTTTATATAAATATTGTTTAAACCCACATTGCCTGTATGAAAAATAATTTCATTATTGTTTTGTCTATTATATTGTTGTTAATTCTTTGTTACATAAAATATTTTTGTGTATGGTTTTGTTTTATTTGTAGAGTTCTTTATCTACAGACTTGGTATCCAACTTTATATCATATCGCAGTTCAACTTTCCAAATCTAGCAATTCTTTATTTAGTCTTAACCGGGAAAAGTGTTCGATCATCTAACATTTGATAAGCCGCTAGCAAATCTGCCTTCATTAGAGACAAAATAACCCTTTTTGTGCTCTCCAAACTACTTAGTGACATGTCTGAAACTCCACTGGTCATCATGTTATGCATAATATTAGCTATTAAACCTCGCAATGTTATGTTTCAATGAATCCAATTTATCGGTAAATGAGTTCATGGTGGTGCTATTTGAAGTTACAAAAAGTCAATATTTAACAGTGCAAATATTGTCAATACCAGTATACAAACAGTTCATTCCAGGAATGACAAAGATAGCAGGAGTATTAGCGTCCCTGTCTGTAAGTAATGCTTGGACCGAGCGAGGAGCAAGCGCCTGGAAGAATGTGAATACAAGACGATGCAACAGAATTAACAGTAAAATGTTGGAAGCCATATTTCATTTTCAAATCAATGGACCAGCAGGCAACAGTCTAAATACAGAACCGCCTTCATTAGCCAACATGTTGCAGAAAGGTAGGACGTACAACCTATATCATTCTCAATCATTAATGTTTAAGTGGTCTGAGACAAATAAATTGTCAACGGTTATCTCCCTTGAGAAAGTGAACGTAGAATGTGAAAAATCATCCAGTATTATGTTGTCACTACCAAATTGGGATGATGTGTACTTGAAATAAAAGCATTGAATAATAGTTACGTGAGTTTTTTTAGCTTAGATGTTTATGACAAAAATAACAATTCTTAAAAAAACATTTCATCTGATGACGACACATGTAATAACAAACATTGAAATACCACAACCTGAAACTAAACAAACCACAAACTAGATAATATATCAGAATAAAACACTAAAAATCACTTTTCAGTTGGTGCCATTGGCAGTTGGAACTGACTTCCAGGATATGAGGTCAGTTTACTTTCACTCGATCAAGTCCAATCTGCACCAGGCTTTAAAAACTGACATGGATCTATTCAATTCATAACCTGAAAATTTAATTAAATGTATTGAGGCATCAAAACGGGCATTGATATGATCAAAGTAAGATATGTCTAAAATCAAAGGAATTGTCACTAGTTATAATGAATTGATATTAAAGATAAATATTAAGAGAAATTAATTATACCACCCGGTATCCATACAACGTGTTTTTCTCGACTTATTTATAGATCAAACATTGTACACGAAAATAGGTGACGCAATCTGCCGCCGTTGTCGAGTTGGTTACTCGTGAAATAAAACCAACTCGAAACAAACCAATTTTAATTATTTAGTAGAATATCTGAGGAAACATCTAAGACATCAGTTAAATAAAAAATAATTCTGTTTTTTTAACTTTGACGAAATTCGGTGTTGAATCCTTATATGCATGAAAATAGGTTACACCACTGTATATATGTGAATGTTTTGGACGATCAAGAAGCCTTCAAGTTAATCAAAAGACCGGTTTACAGTAAAGTACAATACTTCATAAGATTAATGCACGATATTTTAGTGGTCTGAAATCAATATATTGTCAACTGTTACCTCCCTTAAGAAAGCCCCTGGTGTATGTAGGTCATCGTGGAAAACATTCGGTATTATCAATTGGACGTTTCACTACACAATGTAGATGACATTTACATGAAATAAAAGTATAAAATTGAAATTCCTCAAAATTTATACTTAGTAAACGATTTCAATAACCTTAATAACAAACATTTAAAATTTATTTGTAGAGTTACCTCCCTTAAACAGACAATGTGTTTTCTTTGTAATATATAAGTGCTCAATTAATGTCCATTTTGATAGCTGTGGAATTTTAATATCTCATAAAATCAACCCAGTTTTCTATACAATGCGTTTTCAGACAAAATCCCCTTAAACATCACTGACAATACAATGATGGTCGCTATCGATCTATCTATGAAACGTGTATAATAAAGCCAAACCTAGACAATTCAATGACTGCCTCCACACGTCGGTAGGGCTCTTGCTGCAAAAACATTTGAAGGGTTTTTTTGCCGATATTGTTCTGGATCGAGGTTTCGGACTACCTGTAATGTTCGTGAACGATGATCCGAATGACTCGACTGAACACGAAAGATTACTAGGTTGTCCAAGGCAACGAAACATGACTTCCGCCTGCTCGACACTGCCACATCGTCATTTGTCATCGCCATGTTGTCATCGTTCATGTTCATCGAATAAATAATTTAGAAACATCACATCGTTCTTCATGGCATCTCAAACAGATATCCCATACTTCTACGACGTAATTCTTTTTGAGATTTCGAATGCTATGAAAACTAAAAATCCAATATTCCATGTGCTGCTTTGTAATCATTTTGGTCATTCGCTCTCCTAGTTTTGACTTCTGAAGATGACAAGCACAGTTCTTCCTTGTGATAGAGTTCTATATTAGCATTTATTTGTGTTTATCAGGTTGGGTCTATTCTTCAACTCATTCACTTACAAGTCCACATCCTGTATGCAATTTAAGCCTGATTATTTCAGGAAAATAATTTTCAAAGCTAAGTTATTTAATCACCTAAGTTATCAGGAAATAAATGTGGCCATCTGACACCAGACCAGACTGGTAAAATCTCGAATGAAAAAGTTGTGGGAATCAAAATGTGCGATTTGGGCTCCATTACACAAATCATCTTACTACCAATTTTTATTGTAAGTATGATATTTCTCTATGTAAAATTCTACACTTACGAACAGTTCGTAAGATTAACATTCTATACATACGACCAATTCTTATAGTAAGATTAACATTCTATACATACGACCAATTCTTATAGTAAGATTAACATTCTATACATACGACCAATTCTTATAGTAAGATTAACATTCTATACATACGACCAATTCTTATAGTAAGATTAACATTCTATAGATACGACCAATTCTTATAGTAAGATTAATATTCTATAGATACGACCAATTCTTATAGTAGGATTAACATTCTATACATACGACCAATTCTTATAGTAAGATTAACATTCTATAGATACGACCAATTCTTATAGTAAGATTAACATTCTATACATACGACCAATTCTTATAGTAAGATTAACATTCTATACATACGACCAATTCTTATAGAAAGATTAACATTCTATACATACGACCAATTCTTATAGTAAGATTAATATTCTATACATACGACCAATTCTTATAGTAAGATTAATATTCTATACCTACGACCAATTCTTATAGTAAGATTAACATTCTATACATACGACCAATTCTTATAATAAGATTAACATTCTATACATACGATCAATTCTTATAGTAAGATTAACATTCTATACATACGACCAATTCT